GGCAAAATTCTTCGAACAAGGTTGTTCGTGTACATGGGAATGTTGAAGAATAGCCATCCATTGAAAGAAGTTTGACCCATGTATATGTGATACATGTAATTCAAAGGAAACTGAAAATTGAGAAACAGAAATACTAACCACATACATCATGCAGATTGAAAATACCACAGCAGTCTATAAAAGAAAGCTGGCCTCAAGACCATAAACTGAGAACAGACTTAAGTCAAAATTTGAAATCAATATAACTCTTGAAATAATTTTGATAAGGAAACGAAATTTTTATCACATGTTCAAATTGGAATATTTTACAAACTTGCAAATTTTTAAGCACACATGTTAAATAAAACTCAAGATATTAAAAATCAAAAGTTTTACTAAAGTCTGTTTTCAGTTTATGGTCTCGAGGCCTGGCTCTATATTTCAGCATAATGGGTGGAAAAATGGCGAGTTTACATGAATAATCATGCATTATAAATATCATGTTTATCACATATTTTTTTTTCAAAATATTAGTCAATGTGTGAATGCAATATCAAGTAAATACAATTAAAAGTTCACTTTATTTAGAATTAATGTTTAGAGATACAGGAATGTTCACTACAAAAAGAAAGAAAAATGATTTACCTGTTCATTGGTTAAAATAAGCACCTGTGTCCTCCACATCGTGGTCTTTCCATTGCAAGGTAGGGTTAGCAAGTGGATCTTCACAGCTGAACGTTCCGAAGCCAACACCCTAAACATGCTAAAAAATTCGATGTGTTTGTGTTAGATGACAACTCCCAAGAATTATGCCAAACTTGATTTCTTGGGGTGGCCATCAAAACTTATACACTTCTAAAACAACACAAAATTAGCTGAACAAGTATCAATCTAATAATGTGAGTTCATACCGGCTAACGCCTATGCATGTTCATGTATCAGTATCAGTGTACATAGTGTACCACTTGTTTTCATTTGAACGTGAATAAATGCACTTTCAAAACAGTTTCAAACTCTTCAACCAATACTTACTCACCTGAAATACCAATGGAATGACCGTCTTATCTGATGAATTGATGTGATGTTTTCCATCATAAAATAATTATGAAAATTGATGTTCACATCATGTTGTTGTTTACTGCTACAGCGGAAACACGTTGTAATCTCGATTCGTATCAACTCTTACAGTGATGAGTCGTGTAAAATTTATGCGAGATATTGTGCTTGTTTCAAAATGGTTTAAATTTAAATTTCTTGTTAGTATTTTATATAAAGAATATATGACACAAATATACATGTACATTTTTTTAATCAACATTATTGTATGTATAAAAATAGATAAATAAATTCATTATATTAAAAAAAAATACCTCACTTCACTAAAGGTTTAAAGATATTTTTTTTGTGTTTTTAACCAATTATTTTGCAAAAAGCATTTATTTCAATAAAAATTTATAATAAAATAGTACTAAACAATATGTTATTCTGAGTAAGGCGCAATGAAATCGACCTTGACGTTAAATATTGATCAGCCCCGATTTTTCAACAAAATATTACTCGGAGGTCCAAAATTCAAACTATCGTAATTCAGAAAATACTAAGAGTTAGAAGATCAGTAAAGGCTTGTTGAAATGGAAACTTTCTTCACTTTTACCAGCTGTATTTTGTTTTTCCTGTTCAATATAGAAATACAAGTATAAATAAGCTTTGTTTAAATATTATGAATAAAAACGAGAAAAAACACAAACGTGGAAGAAAATGTTTGTTTTTACAAAATATTTTAAAGTAAAAACAACACCTTTTACATATTTTAAAAGCAGAGAAAATATGCTTTTTAAATATATCAAACTTTCTTTATGCAATTAATCGGGAAAAAATATGCCATTCGTCGGAAAAAATCGTCCTTGCTTTGGAAATTTGCGCCATTTTCAAAAAGTCATGAATGTCTTCAAAACAAAAATTCTATTCATTACCGACGTATAAGCTATAAAATTTTTACAGGATGTAAAAGTAGAGAAAATTTCCTAAAAGGTGATATATATGATATATACCTTAATGCTATCATAAAAAAGATACGGAGATCCTGTTTTCGCGAAGTCTTGTTTTAACGTGCTATCGGTCATATTGACCGATGCGGCAGAGAAGGGGTTAAACTAACTTGTTAAGTTTAAAGTTGTTTCAATATCATCTACGCAAATACTTATTCAATTCATATTTTTTTCTCGCTATTTCAAACATTTTTGTCAATGCGTATATACTCGGGAACTGAGAACAGCTTCACCAAAAGCCTTAAAATTTTCGCTACCTAAAATCAGTTTGTATTAATACTTGTTTTGGAATTATTTTTATCAATAAATACATAATATATATATATATATTTTTTAATCACGTATTTTTCTTTCGTGTTTGGAGAGCCACGTTCCGCTGTCAAATTCATAGGAAATATTGTAACTAGAGTCATTTTCTTCTGGAATATCTCTATGTTTCTTATTAAATAATTTTTTTTTTTTGGGGGGGGGGGGGAGGTAGAGAAATGTTTAAGATATAAAAAAATATATAGGTATAGATTATATTGCCAATCATTGAATTACTTCAAGAATAATTCAAATTAATTCGTGGTTATGTGCCATTATTTTTTCTTTCTTTTAAAATACTGCAGAAGTAAGATATTATTTAAAATAATGCAGAAGTAAGAATTTATTTAAAATAATGCAGAAGTAAGAATTGATCAAAATATAGTCGGTCTTCAATGTATGGTATTTCAAAATCAATTTTCAGAACAGCCGATAAGATTAAACAGGGCATACGACCTGATTTATACACATTGAGAAGCGAGGTAAAATAAACAGTGTAGAGTATATCAACTGGTTAGACAAAAGACCTTAATTAGGTGTCCCCACCAGTCCCCGGTCAGCTAACAGGAAACTATATACGGGAACGTACAGTTACAAATTTCGATGATCTATTTTTTTTTTTTACGCAAGCATATAACAAATTAGAAATTATGATTGTAGAAAAAAAAGGCAATTATTTTGATACCCATAATGATACAAAAGGAATTTAAACTAAAGATGATATGTTAAAACAATATTTTATAACTTAAATGTTACGCTTAGATTGTCATTGAAATTGCAAAAAAAAAAAAAAAAAAAAAAAAAAAAAAAAAAAATCGTAAATATCCGCAGTATATTTATAAGAACTATAATATGTTTTTCCCCTTCGTTCTCTTTCGATGGTATATTCCTTTTTAATAACACAATTTTTGTTATATCTGTTGAATATCAATCTTTTCATGCTTATAAATCTACGAATAACAGAACGAGGAATTCAGTAACTTAAAAATCATAAAGTTATTTCACACCATCACACTGAACTCCTGTCCACGGTTAAGAAATATTAACGTAATATAAAACTTAATAAAAAATTCTTGTTTTAAAATATATACAAATATATTATTCGTATTATTGATTAATAAATATAAACATTAGAAAAAAATACATGTAAAGGTACCAGTCCAAACAAGTTTCGTTAAAAATAAAGGTTTTATATTTCTCAGCAATTCCAATAGCCTCGATAGCGCAGTGGTTAAAGCGTTCGCCCTTCAATTGGGATCCAATCCTTTGGGAATGTTTTTTTTCTTTTCATTTACTTTTTTTAAAATTTTCTTTCTTTTACATTATTTTCGCCGAAATAACAAATGTATAAACTCAACATTTATAATTTTTGTGAAGAAATCATTATCAAAAATAATATTTAACCCATAAAAGCAGTTTTATCGACTGCGTAATGGTGACTTAATGGTGGCTTAAAGGTGGTTTAATGGTAGCTTAATGGAGTTTGGGCATTAAGCACCTATTTAACCATCATTAAGGACCTATTAGCCACCATTAAGCCAAACTTAAAGGAAGTGTTTCATCTTGTGAGACGTGTACCACCACAACGTCATCACGTGACTGCTATTAATAGCAAAATATTCCTTGATATAAAAGTTAGCAGAACAACACTTCCCCGGGGTTTAACAATTTCTTTGAGTAAATAATACAGTTAAAAAGCATCTCTTATGCCTAAAAAGTGTTGCTGGAATCCCACTATCCATTTGGGAAAATAATTATTCCACACATTCGAGAGAAACCTTACCCAATGTTTTGCATTATATACAAATAACTCAAGATATTTCTTCAAACCATGTTTAACTCACGATTCTAGCAGCACTTTCCAAGTATTATATATCCAAGTATGACGCAAGAATCCGATCTGTACAAATCTTATGTTTTGAAGCATCCAGCTTGAGTTGTTCTTTTGCATTATTTTTGTCACGAATGATAGAGGAAAGGCCGACCGGGATACGTAAATAGCTGACTGTCTTCAATAGAAGATATAAACTATTAAAAAAAATCAGCATACCTGTTTAACAAACTTTAACTCCATACATGTATGATGAATCACTCACACTATTCTCGGTATTTGCCTCTAAACTCCCCTCAACATATCTTTTTACATGTCGACTTAGCCAAATTCTCGTTACACAATTCTCAAGTTATTTGTTGAACATTTTTGACGTCACTGGTCGGAGATTTCAATCCAAGTGACAGATACAGCAAAAACAAAATAAAAACATTTTATTTTTGTTAACATTTGCATGTTTCCATCCATTTTCAGGAGTTTAATTACATCTCAAAATACCAATATTATGAAAGCTTGTGTTCTAAAATTGACGACGTCTCGCCTATTATGACGTCATATTGTAATCACTGATTTAGTCAAGTCAGAATATCTATGTATTTCCTTAATACACCTGCGTGCTTTTCCTAACTTAATGTAACATGAAAATAATTTTCTTCGTACTCAAAACATTCGCTTTATTTTTTTATAACTCGCTCTCTAAACATTTTTTACAGGCAATTGTAATCGACTATTGTCATCGGAAATGAATAACGATTCGAAACATCATAATTGAGGAACAGGATAATGCACTTTATAATGGATCTACAAAATATCACTCGTAAGAGTAATTCATTGAGAGTTTAAAGAGAATGTATAAGAATTATGTGTCTATATTCTATTTTCCTATATCAGTTGTGTGGAACATAACGTGAGTTTCTTTATTTTATATCTATTTCATATATATACTATAAAGCTAACACAGTTTTTGTTCATTTTTCTCTGTCTATTTCTTTTTAGATCGCCACCATGTTTGGTAGGGGAACGTTTTAATGAAAAGAGAAACAGCTGCGTTGGTAAGACGCCAGTTGTATACTTTCCTTACTGAATAAACCTTTATTACTTGATATGTTTTTTAGTTTCCAGTTTAAAAAAAAAAAATATTGTAAGCATACCAATAATGAACAAAACAAATCACTTCAAAGAACATGTGAATTATTTTATATTAACTTTATTTAATTTTAATTTTGCGGCACAATTTGAGAGAACAAATCATCAATAAGTAGCAACTTCTTGCCTATGTCTCGCAACATGTACTTTCCTGATATATTAGTGTGCTATTTAAGGTGTGAACTGGATAAACATAATCCCTCACATTAGAATCTTTCTTTCTAATTCAAGATCAAACTTCAACAACTATATAATTTTTTTTCTAATGATATGCATTGAATGAAAGAGAAACTGTTATCATGCATAATGTTTTAAATGACATCTCATATTTCGAAAAATGAAACATTTTGAATGGAACTTTAAATGTTAATTTCAAATTAAAAAAAAGAACGGTATTGAGGCAATAATAATAATTGCAAGTTTGTATAGAAACATGTTTTTTTTATATAGTTATACACTCAGTCAAGATTTCTTGCATGACCGTTACTTTTTTCTTAGAATGTGAGCTGGGATATTTTGGTATTCAGTGTAATATTCCATGTGTTTATCCTGGATACGGAAAGTACTGCCAGCTTAACTGTGATTGCGAAAAGAGTGAATGCAACATCATAAGTGGATGTATAAAAACAACAACAGGACATGGTATGTTCTACATAGTTACCAGGAATGAAATGCATATATATAGTTCACTTTTAAAATTAGAATGTTTTTCAGCAAATGTTTAGAAAGATTCATAGTGATTATAAAGAAAAAGAACATCAGATAAAGAAACATCAAATGTACAAGAACCAGTTTGACTTTTATTATAGAAACAAGCAAAGAGACAGAATCTGAGTGGTTTACAACTCCCACAAAGAAGGGCATATATTGGACTTTTAATACTTCTATACAAAGTGACACCTCCAAGAGTATTTCATCACCTACCGATGTAACAGATGATGAAGAAACATCATTCTCTACGAAGTATCTTTTACTAATTCCAATAATAGTTTCTATTTTTGTATTCTTCCTGTTCATCATGCGAATGTGTTTGAAAAGACAATTTAAGTATTCTGCAGAAAATCATAACCAATATGCTCATTATGAGGAAATAAGGCATATCAATCCATCAGATATTACTGTTACATAAAAAAATGATTGTTTTAATGCTATGTTGCAACCACTATTGAAAAAACGTTCACTATTGAAATAATTATTTTAATAGTGGTTGAGAGAGCACTTCAAAACCAAACACAGGTTGTAACCACTATTGAAATACTTGGTAAATATTGTTCATCTTTGCCACTGATTTTAAAGAAAAGGATCATAGATACACATAATTGTAGAAATTAGAATATCTACATTAAAAAGATGACTGACATCTATGTGCACAACTTTTTGATGAAAATATGGTTATTTTAATAAAAAAAAATATACAATAGAGATAAATTCTCGCATATACATGGGCTTGCCTACACTACAAATATGTGTGGTAAATCCAACGCCTACTCTCAAACATTAAAATCAAAACTTACAGAGAAATTAGTATAAGCATTACATGTATTATAAACAGTGAGTGTTATTTCAATAGTGGTCACACATATAAAACCCCTATAAAAATAATGACTACTATTGAAATCATTATTTCATTAGTGATCGTTACATTGTATATAGTGGTTCAATAGTGGTTGCATTAATACTACCGATATTGAAATATCTACTATTGAAATAATCCTTTCAATAGTGAACGTTATTTCAATAATGGTTGCAACCTGTGTTTAGTTTTGAAATGCAAATGCAACCAATAGTGGTTGCAGCCTGGTTAGGTTTTGACATGCATTCAAATCCTCTATTGAAATCATTGTTTCAATAGTGAACGTTATTTCAATAATGGTTAAAACCTGAGTTTGGTTTTGAAATGAACTTTCAACCACTATTGAAATATTATTTCAATAGTGAACGTTATTTTAATAGTGGTTACAACCTGTGTTTGGTTTTGAAATGAACTCTCATCCATTATTGAAATAATTATTTCAATAGTGAACGTTATTTCAATAGTGGTTGCAACAATGCTATCTTGAAAGGATTTTGTTTTGTACACATATTTTAATAATTTGTATTATGTATACTATTATTTTAAATGATGAATGAATAAATGTTTTCATACACTAGGGGTGAAGTGTTAAAATCTTGTATGGGGTTCTTTACCTTTTTACTTCTTCAATGAGACAGAATCCATCTTCAAACAAAAGAATTAAGAGGAGGATTTGCAACCAAAAAAAACGTGGTACACATATACTTGAAAAAAAAAAAAAACAACAAAACAAATATCAATAATTGAGAAGAAGACGATAATGAAGATTATAATAATTATAAAGAAAAATAGTTTTTTTTTAGGAAAAAAGTTTATATGAAGACTTTATTCTGAAAAATTCTACGAATCATAGAAAAATTCTAAATTTCACGTCATATATTATGGGAAAATTGTAGTTTAAGCATTGCATTGTTTTCTTCTTGTCCACTAAGACCACTGCCTGAAAAATACAAAAATAATTATAATGAGAAATAAGAAGTAAAGCTTAAAGATAACTTCCTTTGTTAAGAAAGGTTCAGACATTACGGAATAACTATATACACAAGCATTTTCAATAGGATCTACAAATAAAGTCATACCCCTCTCTATATTATAATTAATATCAAATTGATTCTGAGGTAACTTTCAAGAAATAAACATTTGTTAAGTATAAAACATGTAGTATTTATAAAAAATGTTGACTTCATTTACAATTCAAACATATACAGACAGATGAAATTTATTCAAGAATGTTGAAAAGAAATATGTAAGATATTATCACGAAAACAGTACAATGATAAAAAAAATGTTCATATGTAAAATGCTTTATAATGTCATTGAAATAAAATGACAGTATGGTGTTTCATTAATACCGAGTAAAATTTAATATTTTTTCCAAAAAATGAACTGTACCTACTCATTATACAACTTGTTTTACCTTCATTTTCTTTGCCTGATTTTCTCTGATGGAAAAAAAATGCTGCCGTGATAATCAATATTATTGTCACAACAGAACTAATTGCAATTGCAGCAATTGTAGGTCTGGTCAAAACGGTGTTTTCTTGAAGTCCAGAATGTCTATAAAAAGAAAAAGATCATTCACGATGATAAATGCTTTTGCATAAGAAGGAACATTGCTCCTTATTTCATATCATTCAGTACCGCATCTCACAATAACTAATTACTACCTCTCTTTTTCATTCATTACTCCTGTAACTTTCCTCTGTACCAGGTCATAACACCCTTTGTCTGCGAAATTATAGTTTTGCTTTAAATAACTTAAACTAAATAGCTTAAAATATATCCTTTATAATAGAATCAAAATGAAAGAATACGTTTTAGCTTGTGTCACAGAAGTATCAGAAACATTATATTCAGCATTTATATATGAAACTAATACAAATTAAAAATGATACATTCATCACAGTGACTATATAAAATTATTTACTAACAAAGGTATGATTCTGATGACAAATATCTTGCAGGACAGGGGTTAGTCAACGAAGTACAGGGAGCGTTGAAGTTGTCTTGGATTCGTTCTCCTCGAATGTTGAATTCTGCACAAAATCCTATAAAACGAACATAATATTCTAAAACCATTTTTTTTTATTATTTTGGTTTTTAATTAAAAAAGATATTTTATTAGCAACATAAAAAATGAGAACACATTGCTAATACGTATATAGGGATATGTTCTTAATTAGAATTTTATATGTTTTATGTCATGATTATTTAACAGATCTTTTATAAATTGTACAGTTTATTTGACCACAGTATAAATGTATAAAATCATACTTGAGGAAAGATTATTCATTTACCGTTTGAATATCCTTTTACTTTAATTAAGGTTAAGATATGTTAACTAAGCACATTGGATTTCTATCCAGCATTGCATTCCCCACCCCCTCCCCCAACACTCACACATGAAAAGGATAAAACTCTGTCAAATAACTGAATGGTGACTTGAAAGGTCTGAATAGTAATGCTTTGTCATTTAACCCCCTTTTGGTAAACTTTCTGTCACCTTCAGTTAATTGACTATCAGAGTTTCATCTCGTAAAAAGAGATAGCTACCCATGCAGTACCAAGTAGGGGAACAAACTTCCATAGTTGCATTTATCCAAGAATTCACTACACAGTGGTATTGAAAATCTTCTTTTCTCACACAGTTTTGTTTCATGTTAGAACAATTTTTCTTGGTTGCAGCTGTCTCCCAATCTGCCTTATTCATTGGGCAATGGGGCACATATTTAATAGTCGTTGTGGCCATTGGGCAATTACGTCCAGCCACCTTTCTCAAAAAACAAAACTAAAATAAATTTTCTGCTTCGTTTTATTAAAAAAATTTAAAAATCTGCAGTGTAACACATATATGAAAAGTAAATATTGTCATGACATTTTTGTAAGGAAATTTTTAAATACTGTGAACAGATAAATTGTTCACATTTTATAGTATCGTAAGGTAACGTAAGGTGTACATGTGGTGTATCAAAAAAAAAAAAAAAAAAAAAAAAAAAAAAAAATAATGTTGTTCTCCATCTTATTTTTTCTAGTGGATACCACAAGTTTGTTATATATTTTTTTATATTCCATATTTTGAATTTTAACATCTGATGATGTCAAATATATAAATACATTTTGTGCGTTAAGAACCGAGTTCACTTAGGGCCTTTTTGGCCCTGTGAATTTTTGAAAAATCAAAACTGCTCAGTTTTAGTTGCAAATATGTTTAATTTTACCTGGAGACTGACTGCATATTAATTAAAGTTGACGTAATTTTCTCTTTAGTCAGTGTATTCTGACGTCATGAATTGGTCATTTTGCTCAAATCCTGACATTTCCTTCAAAATTACCAAAAAAAATTTATTTTGCATAACCCCCAACCTCTGATCTAAAATGTTTAATGATATAATGAAAGAACTGTTTCTGAAGATTCTTATTCATTTTTTTGAAAGGGGGGGGGGGGGTCGCGGAGTGGGCTTTTATTTTAATTATTACCTGTAAATGCTCAAATTCATCAATTTTCTTCAAAATTCAAGAATATTGCTAAATTCACAAAGTCTATTTTGCAATACCTGAACTCTCAAAAGAATTTTTTTATACAAAATGAAAACACTAAGTCATTCCTATTTATTGATGTTTAAAATGGAACATTCATCAGTTATTTATTTGGTACGTATAAGGACAGGGCCATTTTATGGAGTTAGTGAACCTAGATCTTGAAACAAATTTTCAAATGATATTAATAAAAAATGAAATACCAGATTCGAAATTCGGAAAACTTTTTGTTCTTAAAAAAGAAAAACTTTGATATAATTTGAAGATATTGAACAGTAATCAAGTTCAAAAGTCCTTAAAAATAATACACATTAAGAGCACAGGCATTTGGGGGCCCCCAAATTTTTCCATTTTTTTTTTATCTTTTTAAATTTGGGATCGACACGCCTTCCCATTTTTTGTATTCTGATATGCACTATAATTTATAAATAATGTATCCAATTTGTCTCTGTTAGCTTTTAATCAGATATAACGTTTTTGACTGATACACAAAAGGAGAGTCAGTCTAAATCGATATATTTATAAACAGCTTATAGAGACAAATATATATGTGTGTAAAGGGTTGCATTATCTATAACATGTAGCATATTAGAATACGAAAATAGGAAAAAATTGTGTCGATTCTAAAAAGAAATGTAAGGGTGCAGCACCCAAATTCCTGTGATTGGGAACAGAGCAAACAATGATCTCTAGAAACAGCAGAGGTGAATTGGAGGTGTAGGCGCCCCATGTTGACAGTCACAACCTCCGTGTGTTCCTTTTCAAACGCTATTCGACGCGGCTCAATATTAATAGCTGATTTATCCAAAGAAAACGGGAGCATTAAAAAAGGAGGAAAGTGGGGGGGGGGGGGGGGCTGGATATAATAAAAACGAGATTAAAAAGTTGATTCAAAGAATATGTCATAATTTGTTACTGAAAAACATATTTCTGTATTCAGGATCAGCTGATCCATCAAAAATTTCAGAATTAAGGACAGGTGATACAAACAAACTTTTATCAAAAATCTTGAAAATAACAACTTAAATCATGTTTATATAAGTACAATGAATAAGTTTAACCACAAAGATTTTTATTTTTCATTCAAAGTTTTCAATAATTGGATTTTAAGTGACAAAATTACAACAACAAATAGGTATGTACAAAGAATCGCATGAATTTGTTTCAGCTATAAAAATTGCTCGTTTGGTGAGGCTACCATTCAAAATATTAAAATTCCACTTAAATGAAAGTTTTTTCTAGGAATTTTCAATTGATAATTGATATTTAATGAAAGCAGATAATTATTCCTTTAAAATTGTTAAGAATTCCATGTTTATTTGAAAAATGAAAATCTTCAAAAAAAAAAAAAAAAAAAAAAAAAAAAAAAAAGAATACAATGTCATAAATTACATATGAAAAAAAAATACAGAGATTAAGCTGTTATAATTATGATGGTATAATGATACAAAATCATCAACAATATATTTTTAAAAATACCAAAATCTTATATTTGTTAACGTATTAAGCCTATAAAAACAATTTAGGTAAATTTTTTGACATACCTTTACGTTTTTCAATTGATGAACAACAATAAAGACAATGGTTTTCATAAGAAACCTTAAAATTTGTGGTTGTGGTCTTCTTTGAACCATCAGTACTGTCTATTCTAAAAAAAAAAAAAAAAAAAAAAAACACGTGTCGGTTGAAATTTCTACATGAAACATAAAACACACAAAAATTAAATAAAGAAATCAATTAAATTATGGCAGCTATAAATAACGTTTTAGGTTTAGTACATACCGTCTAAGATAAATTTTGCTTTGTTGTAAAACTCTAGATCTGTTTAGACAAGCCTTTGTTAGTGTTTCTTAGTAATACTGACTCGTCATCATATTTTGAAAAAAAAAAAAAGTCATTTCCTGCTTCGTCATCAAGTAGAGGCAATATTCAATAGACTAAAGCATTATGGGTAGGCAACACATGATATTAAAAAAAAACTGGATGAAGTTATTTCAACAATTTAATCGTCTTATAAAAATCATATCTTTTACCATTGTCTTTTTGAATAATTATTGTTATGCTCAATTATAGATGGAAATTTACGTATGTAATATTGTAATTTGTAGCCTCATTTTGATTTTATCATTAATTTTTTTTTTTTTTTTTTTTTTTTTTTTTTTTTTTTTTTGTAGAAAATTACATGTACATACGTGATGTACAGCTGAATGCTCATGTACTGAATAATTATTGTTTTTAATAAATGATCGTATTAACAAAACAAGGAACCAAATGTCTCTTCTAAGGATTCTGTATATTTCCTGTTTTAATGACTATATTTAGTATGACCTTTCACCCAAAATACATTCCGTTGTCATCCTGTTACATGTAGGTGATTTCCATAAATCTAAGTGATTTCCATACAAGTAATCAATGTCTAAATACAAATTTCAGATTTTTTATTATTGTTTATTGAAAATTCATTAGAAGGAAAATAAACTTACTTGAAAACAACCATATTGATAGTTTTGCTCTGCACAATCATCTGTTTATGCGCATGCCCTGCCTTTAAATTTAGCAATGATCAATATTTTCACTGTTCATCAATATAAATAGATATTGATTTGTAATTACTTAGAGTTGTACACATTCAGATATTTTTCAGCATTTCCAATTTCCTTTAAGGTAACTGTTAGCAATTACTGTGTGTTAATTTGTCAAATAATTTACACTATAATATAATACAATGTATTAAAAAAAATCTTAAGACGCTATAGTATCTCCTCTTTATAGTTATCTATGAAATATTCCTCTGGAGGAATATACAATGTTTACCTGACAAATGTTTTCATTTTCCCTCTTTTATTTCAGATTCATCTCATTTTTAATCCAGATGCTGAGTTAACTTTAGGTCAACTGTTGTTTCTGCTGTTAGGTTACGCATTACTAAACAGATAGGATATGTCGCTCGTTTTCATTCTTCAAAAAGTAAACAAGATGATTTTTTTGTGCAATGACTCGATTTTTTGTGTTATTTGAAAAATAAATAATACAATCAATTAAAAAAATTAGGGATACTTGAAGCAAGTCATTTGGCATCATAAGTACGGTGAAAAAGGCATTTAAAAATGTATAGGGAGTGTTGAATATTATATCAAATGTTTAAAGTTTACAGCCAAGTGACCTACTTAAATGTGAGCTCTTCAATGTTAAATGTATCAACACCGCTATGAGCGTGGCAACGGGAGATTACAGAGTTGTGAAATTTTACCAAGGCTTACTTTCTTATCCTTCTTGATAAAATTGAAAGGATTGTACATTTTATCAAATTGAATGTAAAACTTTCTTTGTTTATAAGCATGAAAATTAAATCTAGATATACACAGGCAAAAGTGGCTTACATAAATTTTATATGAAATTCACATGAATTTCATGTGAATTCTTTGCATGAGAAAGAGACGGAAAACAAGAGATGTGAAATTTATGTGAAAACTTCAAGCCATTTTGACATAACTTTCGTATGAATTTTACATGAAGAGCATATCGCATAAATATCGTGCAAAGAAAACTTAACATGAAAGTTCTAAAAGAAATTATGTGAATATCATACAAACTTATTCACTTGATATTCGCATGAAAAAAAAATTATATAACTTTTACATGATTTTCACATAATTTTCAAACAAAAAGATAATCACATGAATATCATGTTAGCCCCTTTTTTCCTGTGTATATTTTTTGCACCTTTACTCCCCCCCCCCCCCCCCCATCCCATCTCCCTTAAAAAATACAGAGTATCTTATCTTAATTCTTTCTTGTAAGAGTAATAATTTCAATTTCCTTCCTTTAAGACATTAAAGAAAAACAACTTTATTTTGCAAGCATCTAATTTATAATTGTAAATTTTATTCTTCGAGTGCCAGCTGCCACTATTCTGACTTTTGTAATTCTTTTATAATCTTACAATCATTTTGTTTCTTATAATTAAAACTTTAATTTGTAAAAATCGATTCCGTCTGCGGGTTCAACAAATGGTCAAACGGGAATAAATCAGTGCTTTCTCATTTACACTACGGCAACCAAAATGCAAAATTCAATGAATAAATTTAACGTCAAATGATTGATTGATTTATTGATATTGTTTAACGCCGAGTCGGCTATATTTCAGCCATATATAGGCGGTAACGTCAAATGATAAAGTTGCAAAGGTTATTGATATAATTCTAAGGGTTTTTCTCCCCCCCCCAAAAGGGTGACAAAGTTTTTGAAAAGTGGGGATTCATCAATTGGTGTCGACAAAGCATAAGCCAGGGATTCTCTGTGCTAAGATTCGATACTAAATGAAAAAGATTGATTGATTGTATGTTGTTTTACGTCCCATTCGAGAATTTTTCACTCATATAGAGACGTCACCATATACCGGTGAAGGGCTTCAAAATTCGACCTTTACTTGGCACTCAGGGCCATTGAGCAGTGAGGGATCTTTATCGTGCCAACGTCTGCCGTGACACGGGGCATCGGTTTTTAAGGTCTCATCCGAAGGACCCGCAACTTTCACTTCAAAGCGCAGAGCGCGTGGCGAAGGAACAGTTGCTACCCATTTTTTATTGACTTAGGTCAGTCGCGGCCGATCGAGATTCGAACTCACGACCTCCTGATCACGAAGAAATGAAAATGATAATTTTCAACAACAAGAAGTGGTTTTTATATTTTATAATGTTATCTTTTGTCCTGTTTCAAACATTTGTTAATATCTGCTAGCTATACATGTGTAGGTAAGGCTTCTAAAAAAATAACAAAACTAAAGGACATCCGTTTCAGCCGGGAAATTATTCAACAGGTCCTTATTTTTTTTTAAAGTCTAAATTTACTGTTAATAAAGAAATCTCAATGATTATACATTTTTTTAAAAAAAAAAAAAAAGACTTATCAAAATCTTTAATGAAAAACTTCAATGATATTTCTTGACAATTCCTTTCTTTTATATCATAATTGTCTAAAAGTCCCAACTTTAAGACAGTTATCAGAAAGCTACGTTTTAGGACACATTGTAGTGAAATAAGGACATAAAATATTATTGATTTTCCAAGAAAAAAAGGAGTAGCTATAAAAGTTGAAACAAGAAATATTATGTATGAACTCTGTAAGTTGAAGCTAGCCTGTCAGCAATAGTATAATAGTCACATAAGTACATGTAGACTATGCAGAATTTATAGTAGTTCAATTGCTTTATCATCATCTTTATTTATGGGAGTTTTTGAAACACCCTTAGATGTAGAAGCATTGTTTCTGTAAATAATACGAATATGAATAAATTAGAACTACTATATATGCGAATATTTACTGACATATGAAGGACCGGGAAATACAAAAAGTAAACGTACGTACGAAATACCCTTATGACATGAGAAGAAATTAATAAAAACAAGCTAATTCAGAGAATTTGTGTCTCCCGCTTAGGGAAAAAAGAAGAGCATGCGCAGTTCGGGGGGGGGGGGTGTCACACTGCCCCCCTGTATTTGTAGAATTATTAAATGTATACATGTATATTGAAGCAAATTAAAAAAAAAATGCCAATATGGATATAAAGATTTGATTTCTTATTCTTTAATATGTGTATAGAAGATTCTTTTTAATATACAGAATATTTATCACACTGAAATAATGATTTTATGAGTTTGTACACGCCAGACATCATAACTTTTTCATTTCACATGTTCAATAGTATCATTATGTAATTCACAAAAAAAAAAAAAAAAAAAAAAAAAAAAAAAAAAAAAAAAACCGAAAAAACATTTAAAAAAAAAGAAAAATAGAAACGATTGGGGATTGAACCCGGGACTCTCGCTTGCTAAGCGAGCAACATACCCCTAGACCACGGAGGCACTTGAATATACAGCAAATTAAAGGCAAACACTAGGTCACACACAAAAGTCATATGTCGTAATGTCGTAAGAGTTATGCTTCTTTGACTATGTAACAAGAAGTTGATCTACTCATTTCCATAATATGACTCATACTGAGTTAAGTCTGATTAAATGCAAACATTAGGTCACATATAATGTTTATATTCACGTTCGATATTGTCAAAATTTTACACATTACATATTGTCTAATTTAGCCTTTACTAAACAGTTCTAATGGATGTAATTAGAATATAAAGTCGGCCGACAACCTGCATTATACGTAATAACTCTCCACATGCCCCTGTGCTAAAAATAGTGCCAAGCGACTTTTAATACAATAAATAATTAAAAAAAAAAAAAAAAAAAAAACAAAGCAAAAAAAAAAAAAAAAAAAAAAACGGGACGGGACACTGTGAGAGGGGCGAGAGTTGCCATGGGGAGTTATGGTATAAAATTTCTTTGCAAAAGCTCAAAAGCTTTTTGAGATATCGCCCGGAAACGAAAGTGTAACACACAGACGGAATTTGTGAATTTACGACCTTGAACTTTGTCCTTTTGACCTCAAAATCAATAGAGGTCTTCCTTAGGCCACAGGGAGTTGTTATGTAAAATTTCATTGCAAAAGCTTAAAGAATTCGAGAGATATCGCGCGAAAACAAAAGTGTTACAACAGACAGAATTTATGAATTTATGACCTTTGACCTTTTGACCTCAAAATTAATAGGGTTCTTCTTTAGTCCATAGGGAGTTGCTATGCAAAATTTCATTGCGAAAGCTCAAAGGGTTCTCGAGATATCGCGCGGAAACGAAAGTGTTACAGACAGAGAGAAATACAGAAGGACGGACGGACGGACGGACAGACAGACGGACCCAAATTAATATCCCTCACTTTTAGTGAAAGCGGGGGACAAAACCACTTTCAGTGAAAGCGGGGGACAAAAAAATATGAACTGAGTATAAATGCCTAATTGACATATTATGTCAATATAGATACATGTTATATGACTTTGTTTTCATTCTGAAAAGGATGAATATGGACAACAATGATCAACTGCAAAAACAAATCTGCATACACTTTAATTGTGTTACTATAGAAGACCCCCGTGTCATCAGGTGCCTAGAAGGAGTCACTAAGCATTCCCTCTTGGCAGACCACACCCGCCGTTAGCCCTATCAGGTCGAAGGAACATCCCGTAATGAAATTAAGTACAAAGATAAGTCCTAACAGACATTTCATCCAAATACAATGTTGATATGTGTAATAAGGTCATTATAACGATCACGTCATTTTAACAGAATTTACGAAACGCTGATTTTAAACAAGGTCCTTGAAACCCTGTAACATCAATATAGCTGTCAGTAGCCTATCTCGGTTTTAAAATTGATCGTACTTAGAGAGAGTTCTTATGCATCGAATAAATTGGGAGAAGTAAAATCTATATGCAGACAATAGCAGAACATTCATTAATTCAAAAAAAAAAAAAAAAAAAAAAAAAAAAAAAAAAAGAAAGAAGAGAAAAAAGAAAGGTTTACGATGAAAAAGTTATCTCATTTATCATACAATTTTGTTCTTAGTTTGCTTTTATCGTCTATAATCTGTAAACCTTCCAAATATAAAAGATTTTGCATATGTATATGGGGTGTATTGGTGCAAGTATGATTTTTTTTACAAGAGATTTTTTTAATGTGATCAATCTCCTATGCACAAACAATATTGCGACACAGTTATTTATTAACCCTATAAAATTAAATGTAGAGAAAGAAGAAGATATAAGTGCAAGTAGATTACTTCTCTAAAAATAGCGTAAACAAATTTTTGAATTTTTTACAACGAACGTTTGAGAAAAGAATTCTTTTCTTTTTTGTTCCATTTTCCTCCATATTCTTGCAATCTTTCAACTGAGTTTAGGGTTTTTCAAAATTACGATATATTTTAATAGCGGTAAAGTAAACCTTTATCTCTGAAAACCAAGATCATTTCAAGAAGGATAATGCATCTTCCAAAACTAGCCTCATTTCAACGAAACGTTTGTCCTCTTGAAGTCAAGAATATGGCAGCATTATAAAGAAGTTGGTTTCAAAAGGAATATATATATATATATATATATATATATATATATATATATATATATATATATATATATATATATATATATATATATATATATATATATATATATATATATATATATATATATATATGCATTTAGTAAACTTATTTGCAGAATGCATTTTTGAATGCGTATTTGCATTCAGTAAGCTTTTCTTTCCTGAAATCCAGTGGAAAGATAAAATGATCTAAAACCTGAGGATTTATTGCAGCCTCTGATGTCAGGATATGATTTCAAAATCTTACTGTATTGAGCGTTTAATACAATGAATATGACTGGACGATATAAGAATATAAGGACTTTTCTTTAAATCATTTGGTTAACATGCGCACAGTTGAAAATAAATAGCCTGTCCAGCACTGGAAAGAAAATAAATAACCTGAACTTGACTGCATGGTAGTACAAGTATCTACCCCGAACCCACCCCTTATCCCCACCACTTCTCTCTTCCTCGAAACAGTCGAAAGGGAAAAATTCTTCCTTATTTTATCCTTTATCGCTATTATGACAACTGTCTTATTTGACACTATTTGACACACATATCGCTACAAGAACGAAGAAATCAAAATAAAACGAACTTGTTTACATGACAACCAATTGCTTTGTAACCGCATGTCCTTGCATATTCAAAGTGTTCGATATACAGTTAGGAAACTTACGTCGTAGGTCGTCTCCTGTGTCAAATATATAAAGCTACCTGAATTTATTTCTGTCTAAGATTACGGTATTTATCAATGAACTGCAAACTGCATTCTAATTAATGTACAACCAGTTTTCAGCAGGGTATCTTTCCATTAAGTATACCGGCATATTCAATGATATAAGTATGCCGGCATGAGTAAATAGGTGTGACAGGGACTGGTAACATGATTTAATAAAAAAAATTCATTTTAATTCATATTGTAACGGGGGCAAACATTCGTGCAACTGCATGTCATTAGATGTATACTCAAACTGGCCGCCTTCTATTATCTTTCTACGTATTTATCCGGTCATTTTGCGTGTCGTTACTCACTTGCAAAAAGAAGAGTGCCTTCTTGCTTTAAAGTTGAAAAAAAAAATGGTATTAAAAGATGAAGAAGCCAAATCTAGAAACAATGGAGTGGACTCTGGTTATGAACATTCTTTAGACTCGGATAAATTAATGAATGAATCTAGACTGCAGAAAGGCGATGCCGTAGTTGAGATCAAAGATGAACGACAGAACCAACTTCTGTACAAGGTTTCCGACCATCCCCCGATATACTTAACAATCTTCTGTGGTCTACAGGTATTGTATACGTATTTCAAATTGTAATCAAAATGACAAAATATGAGTTTTGCAGGGTTCTTGCATGTAATAAAATTCCAATAACGGGGCCGATGATTGAATAATTATTCAAATTTAAATCGTTTCGTTAAAATAGAAAAGCAACATTGAAAACTGCATTTGCAACGTAAGCAATGTTAAATAACGTTAAGTGAAATAATCCAAAAAGTATGTTACTACATTTTGTGTTATTACATTCTGCGTTTATATCGACGCAAAATGTAATCAAGCAAAGGTAATAATCTCAGTTTATTACATTTTGCATCTTTTTTACATTTTGCGTTTTAACAATTCTGACGCACATATAACTCAACACGTAAGCCTGATTGTGTTCAGCGGCTGGTGTAATTCCTACATGTAATACGTCCCTTTTAGTCACAATATCCGAAATGTTCAGTCCCGTATTATTGGAATTGAAACATGTTTTAGAAAAAAAAAATAAATACATTGAAATCTGTTTAACCGACATCTGTTAAAACTGTTTCACCGATAATTCCGACCCTTATTCAAATCCCCTACCATTTTCCTGTTTTCTATGTTCTTAATACTGTGACACCCTGTCCAGTGAATGTTGGATAAGGCAGGTTTCACTGTACTATTATCATGATTATCAAAAAAAAAAAATTTAAAATTTTTTCAAGCACACTTTGATTTCCCTGTCTGCAAATATGGCAATTTCACTACTGGTCGCTGATGTGACATGCGCAACTCACCTGGAAGACATTAAAACAACTCTTCTAAGTTCTACACTTCTGATGTCGGGCGTCTGTACATTATTAATGAGTCTCATAGGATCACGGTAATTTTTTTTTTGGCCATGTAACTTTAAAGTGTTAATGTAATATTCATGAATCAATATTTTAATGAATACTTATTTGTTCCTTAGACTTCCTCTATTTCAAGGAGCAGCGGGAGATTTCCTTATTCCTCTGCTGGCTTTGCAAGTACTGGATAAAACGAGATGCAATTTAAATGACGAATTATATTCGGGTAAAATTTTAAGATCTGATCAGAAACTTTTCTTAAGTATTTGTTACTTCTTGTTTTCAACATACATGTATATTCTTTTAAATATGTAACAACTGATAAATTAATTGTCCTGATGTTGTCCCAATACGAAACAGTTCTATATTAAATTCCTTTCTAAAAACTATCAGTTTATTATATATGAAAAAATTCTGTTGATAACCCCCCCCTCCGGGGGGGGGGACTGTTTTATGTAGCATCTTTGATAAATCATACGCATAACAAACACCCTGGCTATGAAAAGTTAACTTTCCTGAAGGAAAGTCATTTTGTTACATTTCTATAGGAAAACATAAACCTAACATATATTTTACAGAACTGAACATGTTCTTTAAAATTCAAAATCTAACTAAAATTTGTATTTTAATTTTTTTTATATATATTTATAAAATTACGTTTTTTCTTGTATAGTTCCGAGTTTGAATAATGGTAAAATCTTGAATTAAGACTTTTGGGATAATTTCAGAATCAAACTCCACAATTGTTAACACTACAATTCCAGCAAACCACAGAGAATACATTTTAAGCAACATCCAAGATGTAAGTATCAATGTATATCATTGATCAGAAGACATTAATCACCGTGATGTCTGTCAGGCATTCCAGATCAAACGGTTTAAAATGAGACAAGTTTTTTTTTTTTCTTTTTTTAAATGATAGTGGATGATTCAAGTAGCTTGAAATATATTACTCCTATTTTTGCAGCAGTACACACGTCGTGTGTATATGATTTTATTTATCATAGTAGTGTAAGTATATATACTATGTATTTAAAATAGAAATACCCAAACTATTGCTGAATTTCAGTTACAAGGAAGCCTCGTGGCCGCTGGAACTTGTCAATTTCTCATTGGAGCAACAGGTCTAGTCAGCCTCCTTCTGAAATTCATAGGACCAATCACTATCGTTCCAACTCTCTTTTTAAGCTGCGTCTTTATCGTCAGAGCATGCGTCAAATTTGCTTCAGTACATTGGGGTGTTGCACTGTTGTAAGTTATCAAGAAAATTACTCTTCATCACAAAATAAATCTTGATTCTTTGAAAATATTCAATCTCTTTAAGCACTTTCCGGGCTATAAATTATTTTTTTATTTCACAAAGTCTATTTTTTCATTATTTGGATGAAACAAAAATGTTTTCTTATGAAGAAATCTTAATAATGAATTGACAGTTTAAAAACACAAGCTACATGTAAGTATTTTATTTCATCTAATAAATGAAACTAATAATCTTTTGTTGTTACTATTTTCAAAACAACTGCAGGTTTTTCTGTATAACACTGTCTTTCTATGACATAGGGTAACTGCGGTCTCCCTGATTTTATCCTTGTATCTCAGCCATCACAAAACACCGATACCAATGTGGACGAGAAAGAAGGGATTTCACATTTTCTGGTTTCCATTGCATCAAGTTTATTCTGTAAGAACCTTTTGTTATTTAGTTTGATTCTTTTTCCTTAAAATATTTTAAAAGTAAACTCTGAAAAAATATCCCACAATATTTGTGAAAATACATAGATTATTCATAAAGTAGTCTTCCAACAGATTCTTTTTGGGATTTTGGTTGGTTGGTTGGTATGTGGCATCATGACAGCGGTGGGAGCTTTTGATCCAGACGATAAACTGGCGAGAACTGATACCGGATTGGAAGCAGTCAGAAAATCTGCGTGGTTCCGCATTCCTTACCCGGGTAAACAGCCGATATTTCCTTTAGTTAGCTTGCGGGTTTTCTTCTGTCGTCAAATATGGATAAACGTTTCAAGCTGCATATTTTGCTTCTGACGTCATTCACGTCACAACAGGGACATCGCGTTTCCTCCTGTTTTTCTTCTGAAAATTACTAAATAATCCAATTGCGTACCATTTAAAGTTATCGCTAGTCTGAATTGTATGTTAATATGTGTTTTATGTGGGAACGTTACAACAATCAAGCACATCACAATATATGATAACAATTAGGAAGAATATGTATATAAAGTGATATCATACTTAGTTTGTGCAAGAACAATCAGCTACAGCAGTTCTAATACTATTAAAATAATTTTAAAAAAAAAATCAATTATTTACCAGAAAAAAGTTAAATCGTATGTGTGCGACTGAGTAATTGGTAATACAGAAAAAAATATTTCTAATGCGTGAAATATTGATATCTCGTAAATCAAAACATTTAACATTTCTATATATTTTCAGCATAATATCACTTCTCTTCTTAAAGGAGGGGATTTCATGCGTTCCTCATAATATTCGTATATTTCGAATCTGAATTTCTTGAGGTTACTACCTTAATTTAAACTAGGAGACTACGTAAGGTATAGGTGTATCACTGTGAATTTCAGAATATTGTCGTCAGCCAACCTACTTCTTTCCAGCTTCTCTTCTCCACCATTGTTTTTTTCTGATAAAGTCAGTAAAATTATATATCATGTTTTAAGTCTGCATAATCAAGAACAGTATTTTGAAAAACACATGGTTGTATTTTAAAGTTTTTTTTTTTTTTCTCGAATCGCCTTAATATGTTTATAGACAAAAACAAGAAAAATGCTTATTTGTTCACCAATTTCAAAGGGGGTTACAACTAAAACATTGCAACCTTTTAATTATATATGCTTAATTTTATATGAGTAAAACATAAGAAAAGATTTAAGGAACATTTATTCATATCCAAGAATATTTTAAAATGTGGTGATGCTATAAAGCCCGATTTCAATGAAAAATACCGTCTACCCCCTTATTTAAAGAGCTGGAATTAGGGGTAATTAACTATTTAAAACTGGAATTAAAATTATCAGTCAAATATCATTGAACTGTTCTTTGCATCCAAGAAAGATTTTACGACCAAATTGCCATAAGTATTAAATTAAATGGGTGTAAAATGTAGGCGGGAATCGAGAGTTACCGTGCGTAGTTCTTGTATCAAATGAATGATGACTTTATTTGTTTCTGGCGAATAGATGTAGTAAAGACAACTACGAAGAGGATTTTTCGGGACAATCTTAACAACAAAGTCTTTTTGGGGGGAAGGGGGGGGGGGGGGACAAAGTGGGCATGCTGATGCCAAAATGTAACAAATGTATTTCAGTTTTTTCACAACCGTCAGATAACCTTAGGTATACAATAATATAATAAGCAAGTGAAAAACTTTATCCTCAACTTACCAATAATGACATCAAAAGCACTTTAAAAATTGAGTCAATCTTCGTTCCTGATGTTTTTCAACTTTTCTAGAAAGCAACAAAACATTTGTTTCTAAAATTTACTATTATTCCTGTATACATTTCTTTTGTCACTACATACAAAACTCATGAAGATAAGGGATACTTACCTGCAGAATTGGAATTAAATTCGCACATATATGTATACAGTTAATTCTCGAAAATCCGCCGCCTTTTACTAATTAGAAAGCATGGTGATGAATTGAATTTCCCCTTTCTGGGGAAACAAGAAATAGAGTTACTGTTCTTGGAAAAAAAACAAAAACATTTAGCGTTTATATTCTTCGTATTATATAAAACACATTTCAAAATTTGTAAATGCTTCAAATAGTTGTTTTGCTTCCAATAATTTCGTTTTAAAACAAAATACACAATAATAAAATAAATCCATGTATTTGAGCTCAGATGCAGGCATGTAAAATTGTGCAAATCTGAACGTCTGGTTTTATAAAAAAAAAATGCCGTGTCGATCGTAATGTATTGCCGATAGTATGCCGATTGTATATAATTCTTATCCACGGATAATATGTATTTCACGCATTGTTCTCTCTGACTTCTAGGCAAATGCATGTAGTATAGAGATTTAATAGTGATAGTGTAGATAAATTGCTGGTTTTCCATCAAACATTTCTTAAAATTAAGAAGAGCATCGCAAAATACAATCATGTCACTTTCGATTTATTGAATATTCCAAATATGAAGAAATCTAAACTTCAATTTGTTCAATTTGACGTTACAGATAAATTTACATTGTAATTTACCTAAATTATGTAATTCAGCAATGAAAAAACAAAGTCGGAATTTTAAAATAACAAAGAAATAATTAATCAATCAATAGTATTTAAATCCCCCCCTCCAAATAAAAAAAAAAACATTTTTGAAATATATTTAAAATAGGAAATTTAAAAGTAGTATTTGAAATTATATTACTTTTTCACCAATGTTGCATTCATACATGCTGTACTACGATGGCAAACTTTATAAGCAATGTCAATGACATGAAATATTGCAAATACTAAATGAACATTATTTCGAATTAATTTCAGGACATGTTTTGATGTGAGTTTTCACGTGTTATAAATACGTAAGCTACTTGCAGTGCAAGAAGTTCACTGCAAAATGTGAATTTCTTTCAAGTTTACATTCTTATCATATGAATTAACAGTTAGCTTAAATTTATTACCCCGTTTACTTATACACGTTTTTCTTTCAAGACAAATGATTTTGACTATTTTATTTTATTATTGTTTCGATTTCATATGATTTATTCATTTTGTTTATAAATGTAGGACAGTTTGGTCCCCTGTCATTCAGCACAAGTGTTTTTGCGGGATTTATGATAGGGACCATAGTATCAATACTCGATTCCATTGGCGATTATTACGCATGCGCAAAAATGTGCAATGTGCCCCCACCCCCTACGCACAGTGTAAACCGTGGGATCCTTATAGAAGGACTATGTAGTCTTATAGCGGGATTCTTGGGATGTGGACATGCCACAACTACCTTTGGAGGAAACATTGGAGCAATAGGAGTAACTAAGGTATGATGAGTTGAATGTGCTTGTAAATTTATTTTTTGTAGAAGCTACAAAAGTCTTCATTGATGTGCTTTTTGTAAGTTTATTTCGGAAAGACGAAAGAAAAAAGAAAATAAATAAATACATGTAAATAAATAATCCAAATACTACGGAGAAAAAGTTATTTATGTGGCGGTCGCCAGATAATTATTTGGCGGTCGTCAGATAAAATATTTTTTCTACCTGGCACCAACCGGCTTCCGTAAAATACCTTTCTCTGACTGGCTTATTAAAAAAATGCTCCAAATCCTAAAATGCTTCAAATGTCTTTTTTATGTTTATTTTTTTTTAATCAAACAGGTGGCTAGTCGAGACGTTTTCGTTACTGTTGGTTTTATATACATTATTTTTGGACTAATTGGAAAAATCTCGGCGATTTTTCTGACCATTCCTTACCCAGTCCTGGGCGGAGCGCTGATTGTGATGTTTGGAATGTTTAATGGTGTCGTCTTGTCTAATCTACAAGTTGTCTCCCTTAGTTCGTCCAGAAATCTTGCCATTATTGGAACTTCCATTTTGTTCGGGCTCATGATTCCTTACTGGTTGGAGACAAATCCCGATGCTATTCAAACAGGTTTATTGCATGACAATAATTTGTTTGTTTGTTTGTTTTTGTTTGTTTGTTTGTTTGTTTGTTTGTTTTTTTTTTTGTTGTTTTTTTTTTGGATAAAACAAATATGATACATGTGTCCTTAGTTCTGAAGATTGCATAAATTTGAAGCGAATAAAATCAATATTTAAAGCTAATTAATGCCAAACAGTTAATGTGCAAATTCTTACTAAAATATAAATTCAATAAAAATCACTTTTTTCTGTACAAAGAATATGAAAATATATTTTTAGGATCCCCGTCAGCTGACAGTGTAATAAGGATGCTTATGGTTAATCCTAATTTATGTGGTGGTATTACAGCTTGTTTTCTGGACAACACAGTCAGAGGTATTGAAGAGCAGTTAGAAAACAAAGCAATATAATTTTAGGGAACTTTAAGTAATAGTTAGATCCTATTAACGTAGAACCTACGTCGTATGACGTCATAGTTAAGTGAACGAATGCAGGACTGCATGTCTCAGCTAAAGAAAATACACAACTGTGATAAATGAATGACATGCAGCTATTTTGAAGGAATGTAAAGTTGCTAGGAAATCTTCAATCGACTTTTAAATAGTACAATATCTTGATGATATATCATCTGAGTTTTAAATCTATTAAAAATTGCGTTTAATGTTTATGATGTCTATTATAAAATGAAATGTATTCATTTTCATAATTAATTCTTAATTATTCATTTGGAATTTTAATTGGTTTGTGTATAATAATAACAATTCGCTAAATATTAATTTTTGAAATAGAAATTTCATTTTTTGATAAATATTCATATTGTAAATCTGAAAGTAACCCTAAAACATTCATTTAATCATGAAATCCTGTGTAAGTGGAAAAAGGTCAACATGACTAATATTGATAAAAAAAAAATCTCTCTCATTAGTTTGAGGGGAAAGGTTTATATCTTAATCATTTTTCGTAATCATTTGGGTATGTTCCTCATCATATTGAAGAATTGAAAACACTGTCACGAAGACTTTTGGTAAATATTTACAAATTTAGGGTTGTAGATGGACTAAAAAATTCTTTTAGAAATATTGAGCGCATTTGCGTATATATGTATTTATTGAAATGTGGATTTAATCTTTTATGTCAATTGAAGAAAAACGAATTTAATTTTTAATAATATTTCTAACTATTCTTCAGTTAATGGAGTCTATAAAGAAATGTGTTTGAAGAAGTATTTTTGGTGATTTTCTATATTCTCCTTATGACCATGTACCCCTAAAAATGGCTGAAAATTATAGTTGCAGTGAATAATAATCATTCTAAATTGCGCCGGCTGTACTATATTTAATATCAAGGAAACATGCCATATGTTTTAACTGATAAATAAGCAAGTGCTAATCTCATTTTGAAAAGTTTGAAAATCCTGTGACAAAGACTTTTCTGATATGAGTTCCACCTTAAGTAATACTTTAGCGACTAAAACGGGACGGAGGAGCTCACTGACCAAGTCCTTCTTAATCGCTAAAATTCTACTAAATTTGATCTAACTTGCTTGGGACATTAAGCACTTTTTTATTTGGCGGATCCAAAGTTCTGCGCCAATCAAATTGTTTTTCGTGTTTTTGTTTAACAAAGCTGTCAAGTGAAAATTTGACGTCATTGTATATAAACTTAGGAAAAAACATAACAATTATGTGCATCACCTGATAGAATATTTAGGGATTGCTGATTTGATAAAAAAAAAAAAAGAGGTGGGTTATGATTTAATGAATCTAACGTCTATTATATCTTTGATTTGTATTGAGTTTATAGTATATAATCTCTTTGTAAACATATTTAGTTCAGAAATTATATTACTTCCCATTGCTAAATATTTCCTTGTCATATACTTAGGTACTTTGAAGGAAAGAGGAATTGAAGCTTGGCAGAGAATGATTGGTGAGAAGGCTGACGATGGAGAAGAATTTGATGATGACATCACAATATACGACATTCCTCTACCCAAAAAATTGAAAGAATCAAAGCTTTTCAGACGTTTGCCTTTTATCCCCTCTCAATGAAAGTTATAGATCCCAAGTTACATAATTGTACAGTGTTTAAAACTTGTATTTGGGATGCAGCAAAATCTTCGACGTGTTTGCTACAAATGTAACCATATAAAATAATGTGATGAATCCTTATTATTAAAATAAATCTGATATATAAAAACTTGAATAAAAGTGAATAAAATAAAATAGATAGCTTTGTTCAGTATCATTATGAATGAACATCAAGTGTTAGTTTAATAAGTAAAACAAAATGAGCCAGTAGCTTCTGAGTTTTCTTTTTCTTTATACGGTTAATACGGTTGTTCTAAATTATTAAAGGAATGTCAATCCGAAATGGGTAGATAAAGTTATACCCAAATTTATTTGACCCTCTTATATATAAATCACAAACAGAGAATCTTTGATCTGAGTAAATTCGAATATGCGTGCCAAATCTGAAAAGTTGACCCACTACTGATCTCGAGTTTAAGCCAAATATTAAATTTTTCGAGATGAAAGAACAAACTAAACAAAGGCATTTGACCCCCTCCCAAAAATCGATCTTAGGAGGCATAAAAATTGAGATCTTTTAAACAAAACAAAAAATGAAGCAAGAACTCAGTACTACAGTGAAAGTACATTTTATCACTGGTACAAGCACAAGCCCATAGAAAGCAAATTCAGGGGGGGGGGGGGGCACAGCTATACATATTTAGTTTGGGGGGCACTGCCAACTAACAAAACAAAATAAAGGAAGTCATCAGACGTTTTGACCAAAACAAAATAAAAGGTCAGCAGACGTTTTTCTTGAGGGGGCACAAGCATATAGTACATGTAGCTATGTTTTCTATAGTAATCTACATGTATATATCGGCAAAAATTATTTGAGGGAGTACCCCCCCCCCCCCCCGGTTCATACGGTCATGCAAGCAGGAATTTCAATTCTTTAATGATCTGTTTTACTCAGTTGTTAAGGGTTCATGGGCAAAACTTACAGTCAGAAGTTTTCAACGTTAACATTCAATCCTTGTAACTATGTGCACCACTTATGCAATGTTCTTCTTTTTGATGAGAAATCAGTTGTTTTTTTTTTCGACAATCAAAATTACGTACGTTCCTAACGTAATAAAGTATTTAAGATGAAACTATACTCCGCATTTACTTTGAAAAGGTGTATACTGTATCAAAATACGGTACATTTCAGCTCTATATATTTTCTGCTGGTAATTCTAATTTTAGGAAAAAAAATATAACAGGTTAAAATACACTTAAAATCCGAATAAAACTATATTGAACTGTTTACTAAGATCCACAGCATAAACTTTCAAACACTTTTTTGTGATATATACAAGAATGCACCAGCTTTATGTAGCCGTAGATTGTGCCTTTATGATTTCATAAAACATAGATACATAATTGTGTTAAATATAACCCACACCAACCTTTCTAACTTCTTCATGTGTCTTTAATTATGAGTTCCACTTACCCACGATTTTATTCAGTACTTTGTGTACGATCAGGCCTAGGTTTATAGGAAAAAGTAAAAATGAATAAAAAAAAAAAAGAGTTGATGTTCAAAATATTGATATGAGTGAGAGAATTCCAGATTTTTTTATTTATTGCAGCGGGCGGATTTATTGAATCACCAGTAGTAATTATTATTAGACAGAACCATCCATCACCTATCAAAAAAAAATAAATGTGCACTTTAAAAAGAAATCATTTATAATCAGAGAAAATCAAATACGTAACATTATTCATACATTTCCTTGCGTAGTTTCCTTAATCAGATTCAGGGGGAAAGAATATACGATTATATATGATGCTTTCGAAACTGTAAATTACTAATCTCCGAGAACAAGATATAATTTAAACATCTACAACCCCCCCCCCCCCCCCGAATATTTCACGATTCATATCTTTTGTTAGATTAACATAAAAATTTCAGTGTATCTTGATCTCAACGTACATGTTACTTTTCCCCTAAAATATCTTTGAAGTATTCACGAGTACTATTCATTTATTTAATTATCAGGACAAAAGGAAAGTCCAGCAGGTAAAAAAGGCCATGTTCGCCGTATACAAGCTGATGACTGTAGTTAATATTACGGTCATCAAAAAAAAAAAAAAAAGTCGGCCGACTTGACGCAAAGAATTTTTTACTTACGGTTTCAGACTTTGTCAAATTTTCTTTGCTGATAAAGAAAAAAGCATGATAGCATTGTGGTCCCTATGTCAGTCGTAGTTATTTACCAGACAAATTAAAGAAATTAAAGAAAATAAAAAGATAAATCGTCTTGAAAGTTTTGCAGTACGTTGGCCGTAACTTACACGAATTACATTTCGATGAGGACCGTAAATTACTGAATAGGTGATCGTAACCTATATACAGAATTAGGCTTTTGAGACAAATTTTCTAGTAAACATTCAAATCTTAATCTCTAAATAATTTTAGTTGCAGGTAACGAAATGCTTGATACGGACGCCTATTTAGGACCTGCCAAAAATATATCTGAATTCGATGTAACGATGTAACGAAATGTCGAATTTAATCGATTTTAATTTGTTGTGATTTCAGAATTCATTTAAACGGATTTAATTCCTTGTAACAAATTATTTTTTTTATTCGTTATAACGTACAGGATGTCCCAAAATATATGATACCGTTTGAAATGCATGCCATGCACAAACACTTCCCTAGGCCAATTTCTTTGATATATGTCTCTAAAAATATTTGAATAAGTATAATTTTTTAGCAACAAAATATTCCAAAAAAATTCTCACACTTACGAAACTGCAACGTAACAAATGTACATCAAACTTTTGCAAAAAACTGCAATTTCTATCAAAATGGATTATCAAAAGAGCTACCTACCCTCATTATGAAACTGTAATTATTAATCCTAATCTTAGGTTACTGCTGCTAAACCCAAACCAGAATCCTTAACATATATATAAGGTTTATCTTTGATGAAAATCAAGAAGTTACTACCGAGACAGGCACTGTCGTCTCAAGTTAAGGAAATCTGTGCAATGTCTAGACATTATCATTACACAGAACGTCATTTAGAGGGCATCATTTAAAAACCATAGCATTTTTCAAAGTGAACTCATTTTGTTGTTTTCTTTTTAATGACTGTCAAATTATGTGAATAAAATTGGACAGCATATGCAATGTTTATAATGCATTTGTTATAATTCAGTATTAATTACATTAGGTTTTAAGGAATCTTGAAATGGTATCATATATTCTGGGACACCCTGTATTTTGATTTAATTAGTTTCACTTTCCTTCGTGTTGAGAGTAAAGCACGTATTTATAACTCAGGCCCGTACTAACGATTTTCAAAGTAAGGGTATGTGGTGGGGTGGGTGGGGGGGGGGGGAGTTACAAAAATATTTGACAAAGTTACTATATACATGTAATAAAAACAACAACAACAAAAATGAAAACTGAGCAGACTCGAAAATCCCATTTTCGGAAGCCTTTTACTTTTAGACCAAATTTTCTTTTTAATATAATTTCATGGGAGATTTCTACCATACTGCAAAATAATATGAGGGAGGAGGCCAAATCACCTTCTATAGTGAAAATTTCTATACGAAATGTACAGCTATAGACTGTCCTTAAATAAAAAGGTGGGTAGGGGGCTTTACTATGGGCCTGTAGATAATATGTTCTATCCCAGAATTATATTTTGGTGAGATCAAGGATTTTGAAATGGTTAAAGGGGGGGGGGGGGCAAGAAGTTGATTAAATGCAGACATGGCGCATGAATGATAACGCATACCAAACAATTTTATACTTTATAGAGGTTTTCATTTCGAGTATAAACTTGATTCTGTTGCATTTATGTACTTATGCACATACCATCAAGCTATAAAAAATCGAAAGAAATCGTTCGTGCCATTGCATATCTTTAAAATACAATAATATGGAAAATATCTGAATGTTGATTTGGTGTCAATATCAGAACGTAAGGAAATTCCGTTGTTCGTTTGAAATTATTTTCGAAAGAGTTTTGTTGCATTTTAAAAAAAATATTTACAAAAAAGGATGGGATTGAAAGATGACACTAACAAAAACTCGACAATGGCTGACGATGATAAGAATGACGCACATTCATTAGAATCGGACAAATCAATGAATCAGGCAGGACTGGGGGAAGTAGATGCTGTTGTAGAGATCAAAGATGAACGACAAAACCAACTTCTGTACAAAGTGGCCGACCACCCTCCAGTATACCTGACAATATTCTGTGGTCTACAGGTATTGCATGCTTACTTGTTTGTAAAATTACAAAATTAGCACAAATGAAACTAGAAGTTCAAAAAATGTCTGGAAATGTGGCCAAATGGCAGAGGTCTGCCATTAAGTCATCTTTATGAAGACTTTGTCATCTTTCAGTTAACTGAATGGCACACTTTTTTTTGCTTTATATAGTGTAAGAGAAAACACAGACCTAGCTGCAGAACTGTAGCGTTATGGTTTTATATATTACCGGTAGTCTTTGATAGTTATAGTCAAAGACTAATATATAAAACCGTAAAGCTACAGTTCTGCAGCTAACACAGACCTTGAAACGTTCAACTACATTAAACTAATCTTAGCGTTTTTTCTTAAGTACCACACCTAATTAAAACAAGATGTGCTTGTGAAACATTGATGCCCTCGTATGGCAGCTTATGACGAAGGTTAAAGTTTCTCAATGCAAGTCAAACTCCAAAGTTAAATGATCAAAGATGTTGTCGCCCAAAGAAAGGACTTGTTTCAATGGATATTCCTGGTAAAAATGAAAGCAAAAGAACCAACCATTCAAAAGTTATAGTCAAGGTTAATGTTTCCTAAAAGTGGGTCAAACACCAAGGCCAAGTGATCAAAGGGTCAAAATTAATGGTACGCAGGGGGAGACCTTGTCATAGGAAATACACATGCAAAATAATAAAAGCCCTAGCACCGACTGTTCAAAAGTTATGGCAAAGTTTTTCAAAAATAGGTCAAACTACAAGGTCAAAAGGTCAAAATTGTTGGTTTCCAAAAGGAAGGTCTTGCAACAAGGAATATAACTGTGAAATTCGAACGCCCTTGTTCTAACAGTTCAAACGTTATGGCCAAGGTTAAGGTTTTTTTTTAAAGTGGGCCAAACTCTAAGGTCAAGGTCAAAACGTCAAAAATATTTAAACCCATGGGGACGTTTTTCCCGACGAATACACATATGAAATATGAAAGCCAAAGCACTAACTGTTCTTGCAATTTGACATTTAAGAGTCATTTCGCGATATTAAGTACGGGAAAATATCATTCATTTTAAAATCCCATACATATGCTAAGAGTTCAATTTACTTCAATATAAAATCAATATTTATCCAATTTTAGACCGTCCTAAAAAGAAATCAGGTCAATCAGATGTAATTTTTTTTGTTCAGAGACTAGGCAGATAAAGGATGTGTGCTGTTGCATATGATAAAAAAGCTGCAAAACGCTAACATTTTGTTATTAGATACTTGTCAAATGTACTTGAATTTATAAGGAATATGCATTATTAGTTAGTTGGAAAGATCATGTTGCAATCATTTCTACTTTCTACTTTTACTTATTAAAACCAATAAGACTGCATCTTCACAATGCAAAGATATTGTGATATCGTTCTTCCACGCAAACTCTTGAAAAAAGTCGCTATTTAAAATTCGAAAGCTCCTATTTCATTTGTTCCCGGTCTAGTAGTAGAACCAATCAGAAAAGAACCTTTATTGTAGGTAAGTTTCGAAACATACATGTATATGACTTGCCTTTAAAATGGAAAGGGTCAATATTGCGGGATTTGTTACTAGTTATCTTAAATAAAATATCGGGCATTTTTTTAAGATTCTCCTCCATACATTGAACCACTTGAAAACGACGGATTTGAAAGATATATTCTGATTGGTTGGTTTATAATTAACCTTAAGTCATGTGAAACCATATGCCCGACTTTTAAAGTGACTCTTGTCAAGGGTTTGTGAAGAAGATAAATACTACAAAACTTTGACATCGTGAAGATGATAAGACTGTAAATTCCAACATGTTTACATGTAATATTTTATTATTAATCCTTTTTTGCATTTAAATATGCATGTAATATATATTTAATAAAATTCATTCAATTTTGTACAAGCACACTTTAATTTCTCTGTCTGGAAATATGGCAATTTCCCTTCTGGTTGCTGATGTGACGTGTGCAACTCACCTGGAAGACATTAAAACAACACTTCTTAGTTCTACACTTCTGATGTCAGGGGTTGTTACAGTGTTTATGACTCTAATCGGTTCAAGGTAACAGCTTTTACTCCGCAACATCAAAAACTTAAATGAGCAAGAATTTTTCATGGCAATGTTTAACACATTTATGCATGGCAATATCACTTCTATGGATAACATACTCGTATTTATTTTTTTTTTCACTGTAGACTTCCATTATTCCAAGGAGCAGCAAGTGACTACCTAATTCCCCTACTAGCTCTGCAGGTTCTGGATAAGACGAGATGTGATTTTACAGACAACATAAACTCTGGTAGACTTTAGAGCTTATAATTAAGAGTAATGCATTAATTTTAGATCAAATATGTCTTCAACACAAAAAGGCGAATTGGTTTTTACTAGATCAGTGATCGAACCTCCATATCTGCAGTATGTATATGAAATAGACAGGGAACCTATAGTTGACAACTTTAGCTAGCATTTTCATAAGCTACGGAAGAATAAAATTGAAAAAAAATCCTAAAATGCTCGATAGCTACATGTATATACAGTGACCAGAGTGTCATGTTTTATATAAAGGCTTACCCCCTTGCACACACAGAAAGGAAAACATAAGGTTGTTACCTTGTATCAATTTTGCTCGATTCTTGTTATGAATGTTTAAAATTGAGAGGAAAAAATTCATCACACCCAGTCATTTTAATTATATGCATATATATATATATATATATATATATATATATATATATATATATATATATATATATATATATATATATATATATATATATATATATATATATATGCTTAAAACATCAATTTCAAATTCTTCTTTTACATTAACAGTAAGTTGATTTGACGCTTTCTACTTCGCCCTGAATCTAAAACATAATTTTGATCATTCCAGATTCCAATTCCACAACTGCAAACACATCTGTCATAATAGACCATAGAGAATACATACTGAACAATATCCGAGAGGTTAGTGATCTATTAATTAATTATTAATAACAATTAATATTAATCTTCTTCGGTTTCGTACACATGTTAACATTTTATATTCTGTACAGATTAATAACAATTTCATATTTCGGAAAACAATCAATTAATCCTCTCAATTTCCTCACGGTTTATCATTGTGGGCATGCGCATCAATTTATCATTGTGGGCATGCGCATCAATTGAGTTTGAGTGTTTCTGTACATTATTTCGTCCTTTAGTTACAGGGAAGCCTTGTGGCTGCTGGAACATTTCAATTTCTAATTGGAGCTACAGGTCTAGTCAGCCTCCTGCTAAAATTCATAGGACCAATCACCATTGTCCCCACTCTCTTTTTGAGTTGCATTTTCATCGTCAGAGCATGCGTCAAATTTGCTTCCGTTCACTGGGGTGTTGCACTGCTGTGAGTAACAAAGTCAATTATTTAAGAAATAAACAACGTTATTCAGTGAACATAGCGTTATGAATTGCTCAGCTGGCATATTCCATGATGCGCGCTAGCACAGCATGGAAAATATGCCAGCAGAACTATTGCTATTCATAATGCCATATTCACTGAATAATCGTTGTTTATTACTTATATTTGCATTTTGTGATGTTGTCAAGAGTATCAGAGGAAATTCTGGCTTACATAAGGGTACGGTTGCTTGTCTCCAGTAAAGAAAAAAAAAAAAAACATGACAATAAAATGAGTAGACCTGATTAATCAACCCTATCTCAATAAATTACAAATAATATGTATAGTATTTGCTTCTCAACTACAGTTATCTGGATACACACCGCGTCGTCTTCAAATTCTCGTATTTTTTTAATGCAGTTGTGACGTCATCGAAACCCTCTGAGATAAATTAACAATTTAACAGTATAATGAAAAAAGAGAATGTTTTACATTGATTTTAACTAAAGAATGTTTTTTACTACATTTTTTTAAATTCTTAAAATTCATTTTATGAGCTGAAATTGTTCTTAAAGAAAGATTTAGTATTACAGAAATTCTGTTTCATTTGAACGTGAAACACCCTAGCGTGAAGAGTTATCGTTCTTTGCAAAATATGCGTATATATGAACAGAAAAAAATAAAGATACAGCAGTTCTATTCAATTTGTAATAAGTTTTATTATACAATTAAATACATTGACCAAAAAGTTTTTTTTAAGATATAAATCAGCAATTTTAATCATTTTGATTTTTTTTCCCTGAGAATATTATTAAAAACTAATATTCATTCCTTTTGCAGAACATTTGGTATATATACTCCTGAACGCGTTATATAAGTGTATTAGCTTGTATACTGTGCGAGTGTGAGAAACGGAATTGCACTTATCGAAGAACAAGTTGCGTCTACAGTCCTATAAACGCAACTGTTAGTGCAGGTTCATAGTGGGAGGAAACAGAGAGAATGCAAATAATAATGCTTGTTAGATGATGAAAGAATCATATTCAATTTCTTCTTCATCGCCCCGACTTCCAGCATTTCCCCCATTTCTGTAATCTGTGTGATATTTGATCTCGGTACATATTCTGAGGCCCGGGTTCGATTCTCACTCGCCGTGCCGCGTCAAACCTAAGACGTAAACATAGGTAGTGACTGTTCCTTCCCCAAGCATCCGGTATACAAGTGAAAGTCAGGGGTCTTTCAAATAAGATCTTAAAATCCGAGGTTCCGTGTCAAGGTAGTCGTTGGCACGATAAAGAACCCTCACTGCTCAATGGCGCCGAGTGCTGAGTGTAGGTCTAAATCTGAAGCCCTTTACCGGTAATGACGTCTCTATATGAATGAAGAATTCTCGAATGGGACGTAAAGCAAAATAAAATCAATCAGTCAATCAGCACATATTCTGGACTCAGTAGTATGATGCATCTCTTTTGAATTATCTTTTGGACTAATTAAGAATCTTATGCTATTTATTTTTTTACAATTCATCTCTCAAAGACTGGTGTTGATGACGATTATCTTTTCTTTGAATAATTCTATATTGTGTATTTTTATAATATAGAAACATGTGTCTTTTGGGAATAGGGTTACAGCAGTGTCCCTGATTTTGTCGTTGTATCTTAGTCATCATAACACACCTATACCAATGTGGACGAGAAAGAAGGGATTTCACATTCTCTGGTTTCCATTGCACCAAGTTTATTCGGTAAGAAATCTCTGAAGTGACGCTTGATTCTATCATTCAGTAAAGGTTATCAGTTTTCTTGTTTGGAACAAATTCATCATGCTTACTCATTTGAAAAAAAAAAGATGATTCAGCAAATCATTTCTGGTTTGACAGATTCTAATAGGAATTTTGATTGGTTGGTTGGTATGCGGCGTCATGACAATAGCAGGAGCTTTTGATCCGGACGATAAGCTGGCCAGGACTGATACCGGATTAAACGCCATTAGAGAGGCTGCTTGGTTTCGCATACCTTATCCAGGTAGTATATAAATAACTTCTTAGTTGTAAAATTGGGAAAAATATTATAACTTTTATGACAAGACATCTACTTGCCTTATTATCGTGGTCTAGTACACATGTTTTATATATGTTATATTTGATTTCGACAAATCCTTACTATTGAAACCCACAGATGTTGATGGTTTCAATTAATATAACTAACATTCATATATTTTTTAAATCTTTTTTTGATATAGGACAGTTTGGTCCCATTTCATTTAGCACAAGTGTTTTTACTGGATTCCTAATAGGAACCATTACATCAACTCTCGACTCTATCGGTGACTACTACGCATGCGCAAAAATGAGTAATGTTCCACCTCCACCTTCACACAGCGTAAATCGTGGAATCGCTATGGAAGGGTTTTTTAGTCTCATAGCAGGCTTTATGGGATGTGGACACGCCACAACCACATATGGCGGAAACATTGGAGCAATAGGAGTGACTAAAGTATATAGTTAAAAGGGTATTGCCTTTGTAACGATCACTTATAACATATTGATATTCCAATAGTAGAGAAACTAAAGTACCAACTACCCACTCATGTGCAAAAAACCTCAGAGTCTTTCTGCATCTTAATAAACTCAGCTTGACACAATGCTTCCACTGAGAGTAAATTTTAAATTAAGTTTTGTTGCTTTGTCATTTATAGTTTTGCTTTTTATCATTTTTTTTTTGAAAAATCTTATTGGAATGGGCAGCATATAAATATCGTCCTCTCTCTTTGACTTTATTTAACCTCTCTCTTTGACTTTATTTAACAGGTTGCCAGTCGAGACGTTTTCCTTGCTGTTGGTGTTATTTATGTTTTATTCGGAATTATAGGAAAAGTTTCTGCAGTTTTTCTATCCATTCCTTACCCAGTCTTAGGCGGAGCGCTGATTGTGATGTTTGGCATGTTTAATGGCGTCGTTCTCTCCAATTTATCAGTTGTCTCCCTTAGTTCGTCCAGAAATCTTGCGATCATTGGAACCTCCATTTTGTTCGGGCTCATGATCCCATACTGGTTGGAGTTAAACCCCGATGCTATTCAAACAGGTTCTGCAGCTTAACATTTTACTGCCTGCTTAAATTTTGTATTACATGTAGTTTGTGAGTGGAACATGTGTTTTATTTTTTTATTTATTTTTTTTGTTTTTGTTTTTTTTTTCAAGGCGAGGCTTTGTTAAAACGTCATGTATGCAAGACATAAAGCCAATTTTTGTATTAACCAATAAAATTTATCAAAATGATAAAATGTATCCGAATAATAAAATTTATCCAAATACATATGAAAATCAATTACATGATTGCTGTGTAGATAATTGGATGCTGTATTTGTAGGATCCCCGTCACGTGACAGCGTGATAAAAATGCTTATGGTTAATCCTAATTCATGCGGGGGTCTTATGGCTTGTTTTCTGGACAACACAGTCAAAGGTAGGGAAAGAATGACACCCATGAACTCCCCTCAGCGGAGGTTGACAATGGTTTTCCTTGGGGTGTCAATTTCAACTGTTACCCTCAAAAAACGTGCACTATTTATTTTATTATACTGAATGTCTTATTGATTTCGAATGTTATAAAAAAAAATTCGGAGATCGTCGTTAAGTTCACGCTTAGAAAGCTTTCAAACTCCCCGCTTCTATTTATCTCAGTAAGAAAGATTTGGAAAAGATTTACCAACCTCTTTATTGTTTGTTTGCTACTCAAAATGTCCTTTTATTTAAATTATCATCTAAAGTTTGCACTCGCAAAGATGTTTCGTCTGTCGTTTGTTGTTTTCAAGTAAGCTACATCGGACGCAAGCTTTTATTGACGTCGTTTATTCCGTTTCTTTCAAACGTTCAACTGACGTTTTGAGAACTCTACGGTGAACCGTACGCGCATGATTTGAACGCATGTAACATTTTCGTAATGTTACCCGTTGTCTAGTGTGCTGCTAACGCTGAGGGTAACATTATGGATTGTTAAATGCGTCTAAACCAATCAGATTTTAGTATTTAACGTGAAAGTATAATAAATAAGTTATTTTATTTTCCTTCGCAACAAAGTTTGAGGGGAGGATACATTTACGCGCTTGTGAGTGTTTGAGTGGATGGATGAGTAAGTGCATGCGTAAGTCAAATTTACATCGGGATCGATGTGTTCTTTGAAAGGGGATGCTCCGCTTTAAGCGGTACCATGATTATTTTACTAGATAAAGTACTTTTCAATGACGTAATACGTAACCTTATTTCTGTTTATCCATCAACTTATTATTTTTGACATTATTTATATTTCATATATTTTACGCTTAGGTACTTTAAAAGAAAGAGGAATAGAAGCTTGGCAACAGATGATTGGAGAAAAGGCTGACGACGGAGAAGAATTTGATTACGACATTACGATATACGATATCCCCCTTTCGCAAAAAATGAAAGAATCAAAGTTACTTAGACGGTTGCCTTTCATCCCTCCACAATATAACTAAAACACCCTTGTCATACCCTTTAAAGTTTTGCAATATTTAGATAAATGACGTTTGCAATATCTATGCAGACTAATTTATTAATTATTCTTGTAGTAAATGGTTTAAACTTAATTCAACATTTTCTTTTAATTCTCGGAAACAAATAGCGGCACAATGAGGATATCTTTAAAACTTATAATATTTCATAGTTATAGAGACTACTTTTGCTCCTGATAAAATGATGATTGTGCTTTGGTGTGAAATGGAAATCGAATATACACAAATAGACAGATGATGTATTTTCTGTCCAGAAAAATCAGAGATACAACATACATGTATCTCTGAAATATCTAAGCTCGCGGACCATCTATCTAATCAAATATTTATGCAGAATTTATCAAATCAATAAAGAATTCCATCAGCAAATCTAGTCATTTAAAAACTGACTGTGTTTAATTTTCACTTATCTGGACAGTTTGGTATGATGCATGAAAAACGGTAGAGAGACAGATTTAATTAATCCTTTATCTTCAAAAAATGCCCAGCCAATCTGTCCTTTGTGTTTAACAAATTCATATAATTATCCACTAGCAACGTTGTTGGAGGTGAAATAGTAACCCCTTTATGTGTATGTGTATGTATTACATGTAGTTTGTCCTTGAGCGAAACGGAAGTGACGTAATATGCATCGGGATCGATGTCTAATGCCATCTTAATTTATTATAGATCTTTGCAGGGAAAAAAATATCAGTAGTTTTGCTAACCTGTTTAACAGTGATAATAAATTTACCTTAATTGGCTTGGCAAAATTTTGTAAGATTGTAATGTCTTTATTTCACTCTTGAAATTCCTTCCAATACCTCTAAATTAATATTGTATATATGTTAATCCTTTGTTCATTTGTTACCTTTTCATTGTTGATTTATTTATTTATTTTTTTTTTATACTTGTATGCCTCATGTGAGGCCATAAAGTGAATAAAATGTTAAATGTTAAAGGGGATGCTCCGCATTGCGGTGCCCATGATTATAATTTTCTGCTAAAAATTAATTTCTTTAAACTGGAAGCATATAATTATGTAAAACAAGTTATTTTGTCAGATTAATCTAAACAGATGAATACTACTAAGAAATATTTAACGATGGAAGCATTTTTTAACACTCTTCATAAAGTTATATAATTTAAAATTTATACAGTAATAGTGCATCTATCTGTCTATAAATTTCTCAATGCGTCATGTATGAAATGTTTTTGCGTAATGAATCTATTTATACTGATCACATTCAGCACTAAGTTTGTCTTATCAAATGACTTGAAAATTCAAGAGATGGATATACTATTGTGCATAGTGTACGCATATATATTAAACAGATTTAAAACAAACGAAAATTATTATAAGGATGCCTCAACTAAAAATGTTTAAATATGCCAAAAATATAAATCTAATACTTTTTACATAATGATATCGACTGGCTTTTTAGGGGGTCTTTCATTCTTTCACACATATAACCAAATAACAAAAAGAATGGATACATGGACTGGTGTATATTTTTGAACTTATTTTGATGCATGAATCAAATCTCTGAAATATTAAGAAATTGGTGTTCATTTTTATTCCTTTCTCCCATCACTTATAGAAATCTATATATTTTGAAATCCCGTAATACATGTAGGATATAATTTAGACATTTTTGTCGGAAAAATGAAATTATGAGCGTCTTAACTTACTCATTTTACATGCACTTCAATAAACAAATATTTAGCTGTTATTTTCATACTTTTTGAAAAAAAAAAATGTGTGGATCATTTGTCCTCTATTAGCTGTGGATTCTTGTATCTAAAATAGATAATCAACAATATTGTGTTGCCTTATTAGTCCCCTACCGGTGAAACCGGAGGGGACTATAGGTTTCCTCTGAGTCTGTCCGTCCGTCTGTCTGTCTGTCTGTCCGTCCGTCTGTCTGTCTGTCTGTCCCTATGTCTGTCTGTCAGTCTGTCCCACTTGGTTTTCCGCACTTGAGCTGATATTGAGCTGATTTTTGGTATGTGAATGTATCTTGATGAGTTACAGATCAAGTTTGCATTTCGTTCCGCTTCATTGATTTTTGACTGAATTACGACCTTTTCAATTTTTAGGGGTTTTCCGCAATTTTCTTCCAAACGCTTTCAGATATTGAGCTGATTTTTGGTATGTGAATTTACCTTGATTAGCTAAAGATCAAGTTTGCATTTCATTCCGCTTCATTGATTTTTGATGGAATTATGGCATTTTCAATTCTTAACGGGAACCAGATTACACTTGCCGGTAGGGACCTAGTATTGCTAATGCAAAACTCTCAGAATGCTTGTTTCAATACTTTTGCCAGAGATGATTCCTTAGACCTTTACTTTGACCTTTAACTTCAAAGCGAAACTTAAGGACGTACTCATCTAAACATTCGAATTCCAAAGTGACATTATTAATATCTTTCAAAATGTGTGTAAATTATTTATCTTTATAATAAAAAATATTGTATGTAGTTCTAGCTGTAAGCAAAATAAAAGCTTGACTTTTATAAAGCCGTCCATCCAATTTCTTATGCATTAAATAAAAATAAAACTTAATTCTCCCAAAACAAAAAGCCGAATGAAAACGATTAACTTGCAGTTTACCAAGAAGTAGAAAAGTAATCATACACCATAGATTGACATTAATATATTAGTTGTATATGAATAAAATATTTGTTTTCTAATGAAAATGCTAAGACGTGGTTCCACGAAATGAAAAAAAGATTATCTTTATAAATCGTTTTTCAACCTCAGATTAATAAGGTAATCAAAAGACACACAAAGAAAAAGAAAAGAAGTTACTTGGATTGGACACTACTTCTGATCAAAAATTCTGTTTAAAAAACAAAGTTATGATCTTTTGCACACTTATTTCCAAGCACCAAGGACAGTGAGATCATGGAGAAAAATAGCAGCTTCCCACCCTATATCAGAGAACAACTATCAGTATTTCCCATATCGTGATGATACTTATCTTTGCGTACAGCACAGGCACGAGGGGAGCAATTAAGGTTTGTCCATTCTCCAAATTTGCACGACAACTCACATATACGATACACTGGTTCATTAAGAATTAATGAATAATATTCAAATAATAGCGAAAAGAATCAGGTTATTGAAATGAGTCACTACAGTATTTGTCAACTTTGCACATAGTATGTTCCCCTTCTTGTGCAAATCAAAAACCATCGTCGAAACTTTCTAGTGGTAAAACAGAGCTATCATATAAACATATACCAGTGAAAAGAAAACAAGGGCACCACAAAACGGAGCATCCCCTCGAAAAGAGCCTATCTATAAATCAAGGCAGCATTCAACATCGATCCAGATGAAAATTACGTCACGTCCGTTTAGCACAGGGCAAACTAACACACACACATGTCACACAAACTAACACACACAAGCGCGTTAGTATACCACCTCCATATACGTTGCTAAGGAATAACAAACTATTTATCGCAGCCACATTTATTTCGTTACAGCTTCACTCATGCACACATCTTTACGTGCAAGTAACATAAAAGCATAATAGAAATGAATGTAATCTAATAATACTTGTATCATGTTTCAAAATTCATTCTAAATAAAAAAAATGAAATGAAGAGCATGCTGATTAAAAATTGTTCATCTTGGAATAGGGTATGATTTGATGCATTGACAAGAATAATTTGTTCAGATTCTCTGTTCAATTTATGATCTGATTATATTTCCGATGCTCATTAAAATATCACAAAGGTTGGTCATCATAAACAGTTGAAATCTACTGATTTTTTTAAGGTCCAAAAATAAAAGTTCAAATCTTTCTGTCGTACCACCATAAAAAATCATTGTTCAAATTTATTTCTGAAAATCCATTGATAATTATAAAGAGTTATCTGTTTAGGAACAATAGATTTAACAGAGGCAAGTCTTAGAGTCCTTCTGTCTGACACTTTCAGGAAGGTTCATTGGGTTCTAGCAAACTCCGTGATGTTCTCCTTTTACGGCTTTCATAAACACTGATGACCATATGTCCCAACATAAAAATAAATACCAATATGCTTAGGGTGACTATACTGTGTTTGGTCCACAGATTCACATCAGCAGATAACGACAACTTTGGATTCAGATGTTCCTTTTTCTGGATTTGACCTTCAAAGATACTGAAAATCAAGTAATCTTATTCTTTGAGAGGTTTGCTGACACATATATGATTGTGTACGTGTACACGTAAGACATGTACAAGCATTGTATTAAAGGTGCTTAGACACAGATTTGAAGTTAATATTTTCTCAAATTTTCTGTATAATATCACAACTTACATATTGCAATAGCATTTCACACGAAAATATAATTAAAAACTTATTTTATCTGGAAATTATTGGAACTAAGAATTCCTGGACGCGTTTGATTAACACATCCTTGGACTTTCACAAATTTTATCTTTATCCTTAATATTTAAAAAAAAGAAGCGATTTTGTTGTGTATTAATGAAAAACATTACATCTATAATCCAGAAAATTCAGCGTAGAAATGTGCGAAAGCAAACCCCCTCACTAATATCGTCAGTCCGTGCTCAGTGTTGTATACAGAGTTTAACTAATTGAATACACCCTTGAAACGTAAACTGTTTTTGTAAATAGGGCACGAGCTCTGTTATTGTTAATGTTTACGATTCACCGAGTGTGTTCAATTGTTAAAGTCTGCACACACCACTGAGCACGGACTGACTATACTGTGAGTGGGTTTTGCTTTCGAACATTTCTACTCTGAATTTTCTGGATTATACTTTTGATATTTTTCATTAATACACAACAAAATTGCCACTTTTCTTAAGTATTAAGAATAAAATTAAAATTTGTGAAAGTGCAAGGATGTGTCAATCAAACGCGTCCAGAAATTTGAAGTTTCAATAACTTCGAGATGAAATAAGATTTTTATTATATTTTAGTATGAAATGCTATAGCAACATATAAGTCATGAAATTATACAGAAAATTTTAGAAAATATTAACTTCAAATCTGTGTCCAAGCACCTTTAAGTGCTTTCATGCTTCTCAGCAGTGCAACGGTTCAAACAAAATTCAAGTAAATGCCTATAACAAATTCTGCAAACAAATAATTTAACTAATGAATAAAAAGAATGTGAAAAAGTTCACTGGGAAATAAACTTGATGGGTGACGTGGTCAAGTCCTGTGAGGCCAAAGGGTATATATATATATATATATATATATATATATATATATATATATATATATATATATATATATATATATATATATATATATATATATATATATATATATATATATATATAACACGGAGAAATATGCAAAGACATTCACTTTTATAAGGATACCCACTCCCGACCCAACTTGGGCTGAACCCTCAACCTACGG